GTGAAAAAGCGCGGGGCAGTGGCTGATGGCGATGGCCTGTGCTCCGCTGGGCAGAGGTCTCGCTGGTGCCACGGGCCGCAGCGGTCACAGCAGCTTCTGCTGGTGGCTGTTTCTCTCATTTCTGAGACCTGATGTACGAAGCCAGTACATATATTGGTTTTTGGTACTCGCTGCTCTGAACAATGAGTTCGCCCAGCTGTGCTGTAAAGCATTATGCTAATACCGCGGAGTCTTAGGGAGAGGAAATTAATGAGCTGGATCAAGTCATTTTTAAGAACTGTGGCCTTTATGTTTGCCAGCTTGCAAAGCAGTGAACACTGAAGTTCTCTGGAGTTCTTAGTCTGAAACCCTGTTTTTCTCCTGTGAGTGTTCCCACTTGCTGTGAACACCGTTGCTTTGTATCTGTTGTCAGCGGCTGCATCAGCCTCTCCTGAAGTCAGGAGATTTTCACTCCTCTAGCTGGCCTCAGCAGATTTTCACAGTTCCTTTAATCTTTATTCACATGCTCCTTTTTTGTCTCAAAAAAAAAGAGAGACACAATTAATTATATAATGGCAAATATATTGCTGGCCTGCATGCTTATATATAAAATTTGGGAATGCTCTTCGTTAATGTGATGTCTTAAATCTACAGAAGAGGATTTTTGTAGAGGGACCCAAAGAAATGCTTTGCGGTGGCCTGGAGTTCCATCAGCAGGCGGTGCAGCAAAGGCATTTTATAATGTTTTTGAGTTTTATGTTCCTAAATAATTTTTACTGTTTGATGTTTGTATCTAGTAGCATGCATTCAACTTACCAAAAAAAAAAAAGCCTCATTCCTGATGTGACGTGCTTATTGTACTTTTCTGCTTGTTTGATGATGATATGTGTTTTTCTAGGGGCTGGCAAGGTTTGATTGCGTATGGATGTCATTCTCTTGTGCTGATAGTTGATGCCAATACTGCTCAGACTTTACAGGTTTTGGAAAGACACAAAGCTAGTGTTGTCAAGGTGAGATGTACAGGTTTTAAAGTATATTACTTGATTCTGGTGTGTTATTTTTCTAAATCACTATAAATACTTGACATTATACTGCACGTGATTTTTACATAAAACCTGTGGTAAGATATCTGTATTTTACATGGTCTCTTTTACAGCTAAATCGAACCATACATGCTGAAATTTGAGCTGAGGTTGATGGTATGCTTTTATAGAAGGTACAGAATATGTAGGAGGTATAGAATGTATAGAAACAGAATCACAGAATCACAGAATAGTAGGGGTTGGAAGGGACCTCTGTGGGTCATCTAGTCCAACCCCCTGCCGAAGCAGGGACACCCAGAGCAGGCTGCACAGGATCTTGTCCAGGCGGGTCTTGAATATCTCCAGAGAAGGAGACTCCACAACCTCCCTGGGCAGCCTGTTCCAGTGCTCCGTCACCCTCAGAGGGAAGAAGTTCCTCCTCATGTTCAGACGGAACTTCCTGTGCCTCAGTTTGTGCCCATTGCCCCTTGTCCTGTCACTGGGCACCACTGAAAAGAGCTTGGCCCCATCCTCCTGACACCCACCCTTCAGATATTTGTAGGCATTTATAAGGTCCCCTTGCAGCCTTCTCTTCTTCAGGCTGAACAAGCCCAGTTCCCTCAACCTCTCCTCGTAGTGGAGATGTTCCAGTCCCCTCACCATCCTTGTAGCCCTCCGCTGGACTCTCTCCAGTAGCTCTTCATCCTTCTTGAACTGGGGAGCCCAGAACTGGACACAGTACTCCAGATGAGGCCTCACCAGGGCAGTGTAGAGGGGAAGGAGAACCTCCCTTGTCCTGCTGGCCACACTCTTCTTGATGCACCCCAGGATCCCATTGGCCTTCTTGGCAGCCAGGGCACACTGCTGGCTCATGGTTAACCTGTCGTCCACCAGGATACCCAGGTCCCTCTCCGCAGAGCTGCTCTCCAGCAGGTCCACCCCAAGCCTGTACTGGTGCATGAGGTTGTTCCTCCCCAGGTGCAGGACCCTGCGTTTGCCTTTGTTGAACCTCATCAGGTTCATCTCTGCCCAACTTTCCAGCCTGTCGAGGTCCCGCTGAATGGCAGCACAGCCTTCCGGTGTGTCTACCACACCTCCCCGTTTGGTGTCGTCAGCAAACTTGCTGAGGGTACATTCTAACTCTTCATCCAGGTTGTTGATGAAGAAGTTAAACAAGACTGGGCCCAGTACTGACCCCTGAGGGACACCACTTGTCACCAGCCTCCAACTAGACTCAGCGCCGCTGATGACAACCCTCTGAGTTCTGCCATTCAGCCAGTTCTCTATCCACTTCACCGACCACTCATCCAGCCCACACTTCCTCAGCTTCCCCAGGAGGATATCATGGGAGACTGTGTCAAAAGCCTTGCTGAAGTCAAGGTAGACAACATCCACGGCTCTCCCTTTGTCTACCCAGCCAGTCATGTCATCGTAGAAAGCTATTAGATTGGTCAGGCATGATTTCCCCTTGGTGAATCCATGCTGACTACTCCTGATAACCTTCTTTTCTTCCACTTGCTTGATGATGGCCTCCAGGATAAGCTGCTCCATCACCTTACCCGGGATGGAGGTGAGGCTGACCGGCCTGTAGTTCCCTGGGTCCTCCTTCTTGCCCTTTTTGAAGATTGGAGTGACATTCGGTAGTGTTACAGAACAGCCAGGAATGTTTCTAAGCAAGCTCTTAATGTGACAGAATTTCATATGAACGTTACAAAATATCATATGAATCTCTTTGTTGATGCCGTTGCTGAGCTTTCCTGTTGTGGGGGTAACCAGTGCACCTTTCGACTAGAAAGTTACTTTTGAATTTTTACTTCTGTTCTTACCTATAGAAAAGGAACAATAGCAGACAAAACTGAGCATTTATTTTAGAGATAAAAGGTGGCTAGAATTTAAGCTTAAGTGTAGGGTAGTTGTACTTTCCTTTGAAGGTCCGTGACTTGAAATTGCAGAGCGTTTGACTTTGGGTTGAGTGTGGAACAGGATGTGTTTCTTTGATACATCATTGTTTTTACTGTGGAGAACGACATATTCAGTCAGGGATTAGAGGAGTGTTTGGCTCGCAGAAATGATATTTAGTAGCCCTTAGCCCAAATGCTACATTAAAAGGCAGTCAGTAAAAAGGCAGTTTTTTAAGGTAGGGGGATTTTAGTGGTTTTTTGTAGTAAAAGAAGAAATTTGAATGTGCCTTCTGGAAATTGCACACTGTTTTTTCCCATATGTAATTTTCTTTAAATAGACCATCTTCATATAGATACACTAATACTATATCACATAACACAATGGTTTTGCCTTTGGGTTTGATAATTTACTGAATTCTGAGCCATCCTGTTCTGATGTTGTCTTTCTGCAAACTAAAGAGCTTCAGTTTATTGGTGAGTGGTTTTGAAATTTCAGTACATTCAGTAGTTGCACAGGTGGTGGTGTCTGTGTATCTATATAGTATAATGTATCTTTATATAGTATAATGTATTTCTTTCCTACAGAGTCCAAGAAAGTGTACTTTTTTATAATAATAATAAATAAAGTGTTTAAATCCTGGGTGAAAATATTGGGTAGGGCAAAACTGATACAGATCCATACAAGATATTCGCCAAGAGCCTTAAAGATAATTGTAGCTCTTAAAAATGGTTGTAAGGTTTAGGAGTTAATTTTGTTTGATTAGAGAGAATTTTGAAACTGACTGCAGAAAGGAAGATAGAAGAGTTAGGGTTCAAAACAGGTACTTTTTGTCCTTCTTTGAGACTTGTGTGCTGTGACATCTGTGACATGTTTAAAAATAGTGCTCAAATGTCACAAAGGACCAGAACCTGATTTCTTCCAATGTGTTTGTGTACGTGTCCAAATCTTTCACTGAATTTTGAGGATTGTAAGGGTTGCCCAAACGTTGCTGTCAGCTTAGAGCTTGTGCCACTGATAGGAATAATCTTTCTGGTGACAAATGTGAGGCAATTTACTGACTCTCAGTAAGGAGAGGTTATTTCTCGGTTATCTTGGAGCAAAGGTATGTACATGACCGCAGTCGCAGAGTAAGTGACACTGTGGATCGATACCTTTGCGTGCCTTTTGGCAACTTGTTTGGGTAAGCGCACCCTTAGCCTTAGTTGTCTTTAGGCTACCCTTTAAAACAAACAAATAAATTCCAATGTCTATAACTGTGTGAAAAATAGAAAATGTAAGTGATATGGAGGTAGCAGCTGTAACGATGACTCTGCTTTATAATTCCTGCTTAGCTTAGATAATAAGTTGTAGCAAAATTAGTTTTTGATCTATGTAGTGGTAGGATTTTAATGTGCTTCAGTTACATTCCCTGGCTTTGAGAAGTAAGGTTATTTCAATAGGAAATTAGATGCTGAAGTCCAAATAGTTTTTATATAATTTATGAGATAATTTTTCAAAACCACTAGCTGGCGCTTTATTAGTGAAATAGGGTGTAAACAAATGACTAATTTATGAGGAGGAAGAATGAAGAGAATTTCTATTCTGCCTTAAGAACTAGACGTTGTATGAGAAATTATTATAAAGCTGTGATCATTGAACATACTTTTACATGCATTTATAAGAGATTTTCTTAAATTCCTAACTGACTTCTTTTTTTGTTTATAAATGCTAAGAGCGTAAATAAACTGGAGAGGATCTGTAAGAAGTCTGTTGTGTATGTCTGACTTAAACTCTTTGTAGCAGAGGTTCACACTGGCGAACTCAGTCTACAGGGGGTCTTCTCCCCCAAAACCCAGGCTTCAGGTGTGAAAAATTTCGAAACACACCACTATCTGCTGTAAAAAAGCAAAGAGAAGAGCAATTGTTTCATAATCGTTCTGCAGTCTGTTTAACTGTTTTTCTGTAAATACTTGCTGGCCTTTGGCTGTCGTAACTGTGTCTGCAATAGTAACTCGTTCTGCAGTCTGTTTAACTGTTTTTCTTTAAATACTTGCTGGCCTTTGGCTGTCATAACTGTGTCTGGAATAGTAATGGTTTCAGTGAAAATGGATCCCTGTTAGTTGTCCGTGTGTGCATATGCTGTTTGTGGGATACTGGTAACTTTGTACCGAGTGGATTAGATCTGGCTTTGGGTTTTTTTGTACCTTCATGAACAGTACTTGAAAGATTACTTTACAAAAGAAAATGTAATTACAGGAATGATTTTTTTATTGAGGATTGAAATTTCATTTGTGCCTGTTCTGATATGTTAATAAAAAGTTATAGGAAGGCTCTTGAAATCAGATAAGATAGATCGTGAAAACTAAAAAAACTTCACCTCTGGTGCCTGTTTCTGACACGTGGTGCTGTGTTTTGAAGTCAAAGTACAGAAGCAGTGGCTGGTACAGTAAGAATACAATTTCTTTTAGCAGAGGGATCGGGTCATGTGTGGGGACTTTGTTGGAGCAGTGCAACTACGGTGAGAAACGAGGGCTTACGCTGTTAAAGCCACATTAGCTCTGGTTGAGACTGATCGCGTTAAAGGTCCCCTTTTTGTTGTTCATAACTTGGTGACAGCTCCTCCCTTGGGGAAGGATGCTTTCCAGACTTGGAATTTGCTTCAAAATAATACATACTTAACTGAGGAAGAAACAGCTTTGCAGGTTTCTATAATTACTTTTTTTAATAGATACACAGCTACATGCAGGTATCCTCATGGGTAATTTTTTTTGAACAGTGGGGAAGCAGGAGTTGCAATGCTGAAATTTGGAGGTAGAGGAGAGTCTCCCAAGAATTCTTTGTTATTCTGGTAGAAGCACACTTTGGGTTTATAGCTAGACCTCTTTGAAGATTGCTTTCTGTGCATGTGCAATGTTTGTTTAGTTTATTCAGCTAGTTTTTTGAGATTCATCCTGGTCACACCTCTGAGAGGGATAGCACAAAGGTGGCTACAGTCCTCTGAATGCTGTTAGAAATCAAATTCAAGTTGCAAAGTTAGTGGTGTCTAATGGTAATTCTATTTCTAATTTTTTAATGTCTTGCTTTCAATATCTGCAAGAAGTGTTGTGTTTGGCCTCACCCTTTCTCTGTCAAGTGTTGTGACAGGACACAGCTAGCTAGCTACAGCGTTGTTTTTGTGGTAGGTACATTCCGATTAGCTTAGCATTAAGGTTTCTTTATTCTGTTAGCGTCTTCAGTCTCTCTTAGGGAAAAAAGTTCACCTTTAATGCAGATAGCAAAACAAGTCCATATTGAAAAGATAAGAAAGAAGTCAGTGTTACCTCCTTATAATATCAGGAGGCTTGTAGACAGAATCTTTCAAATTTCAAGACACATAGTTTTCATAAGTATTGCCAATGTGCAAGCCCATGCAGCTTGAAATCCTAGACCAGAAAGTGGTATGTGGAAATTGGTGGTGATGACGTGCTGAAAAGGACCAAAAAGATAGCAAATGTTAGCAACAGCTTGACATGAGGCAACATAGAGAGGAAAGACTAACCTTCCTTCCTCTCAATACCATAATATATTTGACAGATTTGGAAAATGACATGTTTTAGGATGTACATGAAAGTTGGATCGTAAATTTTCAACTTCCATTTCTTTGGAAGTCAGGGCGTATGGGTTTGTAGATGCCCACAGAACATTAAACATTGCCATTTAGTATCTTCTAAGTATTTAAAACTTTTTGTAGACATAGCATAGATTTATGGATTGTGGTAACATAGCATAGATTTATGGATTGTAGTAGTCACCTTCGGGAACAAGGGTTGTTGATCTATGTAATTTGAAAATACCAGCCATGCAGTCATGCATAACATTTGCAACATACCTTAAATTTGCACAACTGATGGTAGCTTAAAGGTATGCTAACACAGATGCTATAAACTGTTATTACTATGCTTTTTTGTTAATTATTATTTGTTTATCCATCTGAAAAATATGAAGTATGTTTTTTTTTATTATATGTATTTGCTTCCTTTGACCAATTTTCATCTGTATCTTCAGGTTAAATGGGCTAAAGAAAATTACCATCACAATATTGGCTCTCCATATTCATTACGTTTAGCTTCTGCTGATGTTACTGGAAAAATAGTTGTATGGGATGTGGCAACAGGAACAGCTCGTTGTGAAATACAAGAACATGCGAAACCAATTCAAGGTAATGATAGTGCATGATGTTTGTATGGAAGTTACTTTGTGGAGCATCATTACAAATCCATCACCTAGGTTTTGCAAACTGTGCTCAGTTCTGACATTGGATTTTACCGTTGGGGTTACTAGCCTTCTCTATGTTTGTCTGCTCATTTTCTGTGTAAACAGAAGACTTCCTATCTCCCAGAAGGATGCTGTGAGATTTAATTTGTTATGGTAATATCTTCCAAGATCTTCTGACAAAAAGTTACAATCTATTTTTATTAACGTTGACTGAAATAATAATATTTACAGTGTCAAGTACATCTTCCTGCTTTTGAATTGGGGATATAGTGCAGTTTGCGTTGCACCTTAACGTTAATGTTACAGTGTCAAGTACATCTTCCTGCTTTTGAATTGGGGATATAGTGCAGTTTGTGTTGCACCTTAACGATAACGTCATCTGATGCAGTGTTTTAACAGTATTACATTGCTATAAGTGAAGGGTTTTGATTGTGCACATATACTTTGACAAATATTTAGATAGTTCATTATATAGCTACTTCTGATCAAATATACTGGCATGATAACATACATTTGCAATGTAAATAGAGAGAGAAGGTTTTTCTGAGTATCTGTGTGGTTGTCTGATTCATAGGAGCAGGGAGGCTTTTCTGTGCATAGCAATATTAAGATGTGAAAAGTTACTGTAAATTTTAGTGTAGAAGAGAGCTGTAAATAAGATAGGTTTTGCATTTCATTAGAGTTAGCAGTAGGAAGTCTTGAAACTGAGTATGCATGTTTGAATTAGGTTTCAAGTGTAATTAATTGGACATAAATGGTAAGGATTAACACAAACGGTCAAGAGAGAGGAAATTAAGATGTTATAAATAACTGGTTTTGGCTTTCATTTGAGAAGACAGTTTAGCAGTGGTATTTGCCTCTTTTGATTCTGTTCTGTGGGTGGTAGCCCAGGGAAGGTCTGAAAAATACCCAGTAAACTCTACTTGAACAGTTCTGGGCAGCTGGATGTTTGAAGATTCTTTATACCATTACCAGAAAAAACATCTTGCTCAGGGATTTCACAAGTCTTTGGGGGAAGTGAAAAATGAAAGCAAAACCCAAACAAAATCCTACAGAAAACCCCAAGCAAACGAGAAAAAAAGAACCTGGAGAAAGAAGCTATGCATTTATGATGTTGTAAGCTATGAAAGATTTATTTTTGCATGTGTTAGAGGCAGATATGTCTAGAAGGCTGTCTAGACAGGCTGATTCTCATGTCTAGAATTACTATCTTAATTGGTCTGATGAAGGACAGAGAACGGAAAATGTAGCCACTGGCCAGGTATAACACAATGAAGAAAATATATTGGAAAGGAAGAATTAGTGTCTTTTTCCTTGCTTCTTTTTTGTGCTCATGTATTGGTAAAGAGTAATCAAATGGTCTCTTTCATTAGTTATCATCTTGTACTGCATCAATTAAAAAGTAAAGGTAGTGGTTAGACCTCAGAAAAGGGAATCAAAAGACTTCATTCCTTGTCGCATCACACACTCAATATTTTTAGTGTGGCTTTAATTGACGCAGTTTGTAGTTGATAGTAGTACTCTCCTACTATTGTAAAACTTGATTTTTTGATTCTTATTGCTTGTGGTAGGCACTTTTCTGTCTATTGGAACCACTCCTAACAGAGCTGACCAGGAGCTGGCTGGAGCACTGGAATTTGGTTACCTTTGTGGCTGCGCTACTGTGGGTGGTCTGCTTCCAGTACCTGAGCTGGTGCTGCCAGTGAACTGCTTCCAGCATCGGACTGGCTCTTTCAGAATTAGCTGGAAGGGATAACTCTGCAAGTACAGCAGCATCTACGTGCTCTGCTGCGTGTTCTGGATTTCTTCTTATTACTACTACTGTCCATGCTAGCAAGATGTCTACAGATTATTTCTGAAGTAAAATTTAGAACACTTTTGTGGGTTCCCCCTGCCCCGCCCCCCTCCGCCCGAAACTACCTTAAGGAGTTTCTAAGAATAATTTAGAGTTTATTTGGACCATTTTAAAAACTTGTGATGGTGCTTTATAACTGTGTTTTATTTTGAATTCTGTTGTATGAAAGCCCACCTATGAAATTAGGTTGTTTGTCTTTTGTTATTATTCTGTTTTTATAAGTCCTGTGGAAGTAGATACAATATTGTGAGTCTCTAAGTCTGATAGTAAGACACTAAATTTTCATTTATTCTGGTCACTGCAGTTATTTTTATTAGTTTTATTTCTTTTTTCGTGTGTGCTTATAAGCTGCTTTTTATTAACTTCTGACGCCTATTTACTGAATGTTTGGTGATGTTTTGACCATCCCGTTTGAAGATTTCTCCAGGTTTTCAGAACAAATGAAGGCTTTCCAATCTGCTGGGTGAGAAAAAAATGTAATAAGCAACAGAATTAAATTTCTCTTTCCTCAGTCCTTGATTTGATTCAGCAATTACCTCTATCAAAAACAGCTTCTTTTCCTTTCCTTCCTTTTTAGAAGCCTGTAGAAAATGGTGCAAATAGAGAGATCGAGCACCAGAGTGATCTGCTGGTTCTCTGCGTGTTATCTGCAAGAGCTCTGCCCACTGTTTTAGTAAGGAGAAAAGTGGTGCATCAGTGTAAGGCACTCTGCTTTGTTTGATCCAAACTGCTTTCAGCTGAGGAGTTAACCGTTTGTTAACTTGCAGTGTAACTGATCAGGACATACATGGCTGGATTTTTTTTTTTTTCCCCCCTCTGAAACCCAGTGAGAAGCACATACCAGCTCTGAAAAAAATGAATTGAACAGGAGAACAGCTGAGGAAGGACGTTTGATAGATATGCGCATGCTGTAGAGAAGCTGTGACTTGGTGAGGTCATGCAGTGAGTGGTAGGAGCTGGACTGGGGGGACTTCATCCATTGCCTGCCTGACCCATTCTGCTGTCTAAAACACTGCCCCATGGAGCATGGAGGTAGCTCTCACACAGCTCCTTTCAAATAACAGGGGTGTGTCTCTGTTCTTATTGACAGAAAACATAGTCTTTGAATGTTTAAATGATGCCCAGCCGTGATGACTGGCGACCATACCGCTTCAGAGTGACCCTAGCATTTAAGCACTGTGTTTGTATTCTTGATTGTGTGTTATGGCCGGTTTCATTTTACTCTTAAACTGAAGACTCTCTGTTTACAAAGTATTTGAAGTGAAGAAGACATTTTTTCTTTCCAGGTCCAATACTGATACCATCTCAAATATTAATTTGGGATGGTGTTATGGTTCATGATGTCATCCCAAATGTTAAATGGGATGGTGTATGGTTCTTTTCATTTTGACTCCACAGTGGTTCTACACGATGCGGTATGTTGTTTCAGGTAGGAATTCACTGGCTGAAAAGATCTGACTTCTTCAGATAAGATGTGGGTTGTGTGCATGTGTATGTAGACATGTGTAACCCAGTTTATTGCTGCATGTTAAAAACTGAAATTCAAGCCATAAAAGGAACTTATTTTCTAGAATTGTGAACAAGAAGCATTTTGTTACCAGCAAGTCACTATTCATTTCTTGAAAGGTGAGGTGATATAGAAGAAAAATAGTTTTAAAATAGAACAAGCTTTTTTGAAATTAATTTCACTGTTGTTGTTTTTTTTTTTTTTTGACAGACATGCAGTGGTTGTGGAATCAAGATGCTTCTAGAGATTTACTGCTTGCAGTTCATCCGCCTAACTATATTGTACTGTGGAATGCAGACACAGGCACCAAACTTTGGAAGAAAAGTTACGCTGAAAACATCTTGTCTTTTTCGTTTGACCCCTTTGATCCATCACACTTAGCTTGTAAGTTTATATGTATAAAATACTGTGACCTGAATATGTGTGACCGGGAAAAGTGTTAAACTAAAATGTTAATATTGAGGTTAAAAGTAGTAGAGAAAGTAATGTCAGAAATGCCAAGAAGAAGGCTCGAAAGAAAGATGGGGAGTCTTTGGCCAGTGTGGAACCTTCTAAAATAAGATGCCATTGTGTGAGGGGAGGGGAAAAGTAGGCATGAGTAGAGAAGTTAGAGATCTGAAATGTCTGAGACTTTACAAAAGAAGATGTAAAGCGCCTAGGGAGCTAGAGCAGACCAAATATGGAGAGCCCTGTGAAACTGACATAAAAAGCTAGAAAAGAATGGATGCTGAGGGAGAATCCAGTGGGACGACTAGACCCAGAATAAATGGTATTTTCATCAGAAAGGGTTTTGTTTAAAGGAATACAGTGTGAGCATCAGTTTCAGATGGAATTCAGACGTTAGGGGAGATGTAGTGCAGATTTATCCACATTTTAGCAGGAAGAAATTAAGAGAAATAAGAGTCACCCTTTTGTTCTTTAATTTAGCTTCATCACTCCTTATCTGTAATGAGACAGTGCAGTTTCCAGGCTTTGTAGTTGTTTCTTTCTTTTTTATGTACCGTACCATTCAACATTCTATAAGCATGTAGTAAAATCTTAGCTACATCTTTCAACCTTAGTGGAATCTTTATGCTGCAGCATAAATAATGTGAGTTAATGATTCTTTGAGCCATGCTCTGCATGAGAAGAAAAAATGGGGATACAGTCAATGTGGGCAACCCTGCCTTCTGTTTGCATTGTGAAGCTTAAAAAGAGTAGTTGATGAGAAAGAATAACTGTTCCGGAAAACCATGAGTTTTGCTAGTAATCCTCACAGTATTTTTTTTAGCATAGGCTTAATTTTGAAAAATTGAATTTTGTGGATATTAATTTTAATGGACCATCTGCTGCTCTTTCAGTAGAAGCTGGTTGTCTAGAACTAAGAGTTTTCTACCTAATACAGTATTATTAAAGTTATTACCATTTCCCCCCACCAAAATTTTATTAAAATGGAATGCCACAATCAAATTGCAGTTTGTATTTTGCTATAATAAAAATTGTTTTTCTTGGTACAGTGCTCACCAGTGAAGGAATAGTGTTCATTTCTGACTTCTCTCCTTCCAAAGCTCCTGCCAGCTCAGGGAAAAAAGTTTACATCTCTAGTCCCCATTCCAGTCCTTCTCACAACAAGCTGGCTGCTGCTACGGGGGCCAAAAAGGCCCTTGATAAAGTAAAAATCTTAATCAGTAATGAAAAACCAAGGTAGGTTGCAAATATTGCTTCTCTGATAATGCTTTTTATACCTGTATATTTTATAGATATAATTAGATTAAAGCCTGTAAGATAATCAGTTTTACAAAAGAAATTTCATTAGGGTGGGCAGATGATTGGATGTCCTATATGAGGGCATTAGATAAGGTTATAGCATTGACAGTCATCCATCCAGTTCTGTTCATAAAATCAGCCATATCATCCCTGCATGTTTTACATAAGTGACATGATGTTCTCCCTTCGCTAACAGATTTTCGTGCAGGTGTAAATTCAGAAATATCTTTCTTAGGGGAAAAATAAAATGGATACAAATGGGCTAACATAATTCATTTCAGTTGTGGAATGAGAAGGGATATAGTAAGAGAATAAAAATTCTGTAAGTACTGATACCTGAGAAGAGTTATCATTCTGATGTTGTACAAGATACTGCAGTAGGAGGCGTTTTTTAAGTTAATTCAAATTTGTGTGTGCTTATCTGTTTTCTGACCTTTTAAAACTAAAGTTGTTGCAATTTGAGTTTGTTTTTTTTGTCAGAAATTCTCTAGACCGCTTTTTTTTGTGTGGTGTAATTCTTTTCTTCCTCTTACACTTTCTCTTTGTGTAGTAAAAATATTTCTCAGATGTCTAGCGAAGTTGAGAACAAACTAATCAGGCTGTGTTATCAGTTAGCACTTGACACCAAAATTTAGTGCAGATACGAAATTTATACTCTGTTTTAATAGGTGTTTAAATTGTAAACTGGGAGCAGATTTGATGATACTTCCTCTGGTAATCACTTAAGAAATTGCAATTTTTATGTGAAGTTAAAGGGCATGATGTTGTTATTTTGTGTTCTATAACGCCTGATTTGCGCTGTATCGGACAGGACACCTGATTAGCAAATACTGAAGACAGTACATGTGCTGCTGCAGCCTTGTGTGTGCTCTGTAATAACTGCAGATTAGCAAAGATACTATTTTTTTGCATTCTCCTGATTGAATTTGAAGTTGTGTGTGAATATTGCCAAGGGTAATTCTTCACTTTTCTGCCTCCTTTTCCATCTAGAATGCCTGAAAAGAGCAGAGTAGGAAAAGGGGAAGAAAAAATTGTGGCAGCAGTGGTTTATCTGGTTTTATATTCGCTTAGGGAAACTTTGGGGAAAGAGGAGCAGAAGATTGTCAGGAAAGTGACTGCAGAGAAAAGGTGAATACTGCTTCCGAAGCAAGGAGTGAGATGCAAGAAGAGTGTAAGGCGGGTTTAGTGTGTGGTAGAAGGAGGAGATCAAAACCAAACAAAACCCCTTGTAGGGATGAGACATTAAATCAGTTCAGAGACCTGCAAACCTGAGCACAGCATGAACATGATTTTCTTCAGTGTGACTTAAATACAGTTCATCGGATTGCACGTTCCTAATGAAGCTCTTCATGATGCAGCCAATCTCCTGGTAACAACCAAGAAAACAATGAACGTTCCTGCTCTTTGCTACTTTCTTTGAGTTTGAAGAGTGGTATTCTAGATAGGCTAGTTGTATTCATGTCAAAATAAAGTAATATGCGTAATAATATAAAAATCGAAGTAAGCAGTGTGTTTAAGGGTAATTTCCCATGAATACCAGTAATTGTCATGGCAGCTAGCACTGTTCGTAATTGAATTGCTTTGTATTTGAGATGTGCAAGAACTGCACTTGTTCCATTTGAATTACATATTATTTAAAAAATTACTCTATAATCTTATTTAGACAAAAGTCAACAGACTGTGTGTCTTTTAAAGGTCAGTGATGCTTCGCACTTCATCTGCAGTTCCCTAGTGATGAAAGTAGAGGATACTTGAAAAAATGCAGCTGTGGGAGAATTTATACTGTTAATTCTATTTTGTACTTGAAGTATTTGTTGATACTGAACATGATTAAAGTTTATGTCTGGTGTTTTGCAGTGCTGAATCTGTAACACTCAATGACTGTCTTCAGTTGTCATATTTGCCTTCCAAAAGAAACTACATGCTGTTATTGTATCCCAGAGAAATTTTGATTCTTGACTTGGAAGTGAATCAGACAGTGGGTGTGATTGCAATTGAAAGAACAGGTGTGCCTTTTCTACAGGTAATGAAAATTTGATTGCTTACTGTCATTGTAATAGTTTACTAACATCATATGTCAGTTCATGACCCACTAACAGTTCTGTTTTGATTAGCTCTGGAGGGTGAAGAGAAGTTAGCTCACCAGGGGGAGAAATGTCCTTTGAACCAAGCACTGTTTAATTTAGTTTTCTGAACTCTGGATCAAACCCATTTGATTTTGTGGCGTTACAAAAGTTACTGGTGTGGAAACAGTGCTGTGAGAAAAGGACATCTTCTGTGGCGATGAAGCTGCCTGCACACAAGTTAATACTAGTTCTCTGAGCATCTGCCTTTGCTTAATTAGACAGTTCAGTCTAGTCTGAGGTCTTATTGAAGCATCGTTGCTCTCTTGGAATCATGAATTCTGAAACCGAAAACGAAAGGGTAGTTTTAATTTTTAAATAGTGATAGCTAAAAGGAATGTATCAAAGCAATATATGAATTTTTGTGGCACACAAAGAGTGTGTCAATGTTTAAAAAAACTCCCAACGTCAAATCAGCAAACAGTTCTAACAAACTTTAAACGAATTTCTCAAATTAATTGGATTCCTTAGACAGAATTACTGTAGCTAAATAAATTCATTGAAGTGTTGCACTAGTGGTAACATTTTTAGTGGCTTGCTTATACATCAGAAATTGTATGTTCATTTGTAAATGTACTTTGCAAAGGATAAAACTTTGGTCGAAACATTAAGGTTGAAAAAGACCTTTAAGATCATCGAGTCTGACCGTCAACCCATCACCATCATGTCTGCTAAACCACGTCCTGAAGTGCCACATCTACACATTTTTTGAACACCTTTTGGGGGGGGGGGCGTTTTGATAACCCAGTATAATGTCCTATCTCTTTACCTAGGTAATTCCTTGTTTTCAGCGTGATGGCTTATTTTGCCTACATGAAAATGGTTGTATAACTTTAAGAGTTCGTAGATCTAACTGCAGTATAACTGGAACTCCAAATGAAGAGCCAGGTAAGTTTTGTCTCAGAAATGAACTTTGTGGCATTTTAATTAACAAACGCAAGTATTACCCATCGTGCCTCATACAGGATGGTGAATTACAGCCCTTCTAGGATTTTTTTCTTATGCATTAAATTTAAGTTTATGCTGCATTCTCCCCAAATTGGTTTTGACTTCCCTGAAATTTAGTGCAAAATAAGATATTAATATCCTGAAAAACATTTTATCACTAAATAATACTTAAATTATGAAGTGGCTTAATAGGCACATATACAAGAAAGTTTAGATAAAAGATGATTAGTTTGTTCTTTTTATCTTTAATAAAAACCGTATCTTTCAGGTAAACACAGGGTTTTGGAAGTCATTTGGTCATTTGGAAGAATTGATTTTAGAACTAAGACATGGGCTTAAATTTAGATTAAAATCTAAATTTAAACCTTCGTCTCTTTTATGAAATATTACTAAGAATGGCCTTTTAAATATAATGGAGAAGACTGGAAAATGAAGGGAAAATGTAGTTCTGTAACTGTAGCTAAGTTATTTTTTTGGATAGAGTTTGTTTGGTTTGGTTTTTGCAGTTTGGTAATTTCTAGTGAGCTACGTTACTTGCTTCCAGGTTTACCAGTAAACCAAATGAGTTTTGGATTGTGGGGAGCAGATGCACTTTCTGCACAGATACGAAACAGTAATTTTTTTAGATTTTGGTTACATTTTGGAGAATTCTTGAGAGTTGTGTTGTGTACAGCAAGGTCAACGGTATATAGTTTTTGATTATTTTTCCTAATCGTTGCACAGGAAGCATGTGGATTTCAACCAAACAGCTCAGTCATGCTGCAAATTTACCTCTGTTGATTGATCACATCGTATGTTTTCCATTCTAATTGTTTGTCCTCTGTGGGACATTGATGTTACAGATCCAGACCCAGTTCAGGAGCTGATTTATGATTTAAGAAGTCAGTGTGATGCAATCAGGGTAACAAAAACAGTTCGACCCTTCAGTATGGTGTGTTGCCCAGTGAATGAGAATTCTGCAGCTCTCATAGTCAGTGATGGCAGGGTAATGATCTGGGAATTAAAATCCAGTATTTCTGGCAGAAATGTGCGTAACAGGTAATGGAATTTATTTTTCTTATCAAAGCTTCCATCTGTTACATTTACAAGTGGTGTGTAGTATTTAGTTATATTCTAAAAGCAACAGTGATGTCCTGTGTGTATGGTAGTATGACAAGTGCTATATGTGTGTATATATGAAAGGAAGAGGAGCAAAATATATCATCCACATAGATTAGTTCTCTTGCTTTGGGAAAGTGAAGGAACTGTATTTACTCTTCTTTCTTTAAAAAATAATTCCATACTAAGTGGTTGGAATAAGGAGACAAAAGATAGGATTGAATATTCACATTATTTTGAAGGAACTTTTTATTCTCATTTGGCTTTTTTCAGACTACATATTTTTCCTCAGGAACGAATCCCTTACTTTCAATCACATGAGAGGATTGCGAAGTGAGTCGGGAAAGGACTACATTTCATAAAATCATAGAACGGTTTGTGTTGGAAGGGACCTTATAGATCATCTTGTTCAAACCCCCTGCCATGGGCAGGGACACCTGGCCTTGAACACTGCCAGGGAGGGGGCAGCCACAGCCTCCCTGGGCAGCCTGTTCC